ATTAACAGCAGCGATATACTTATTAAATATATTAAATATTGTTAAATATTAACTTTTTAAAGCACTGATTGTTTTCTAGTGCTGTGCTTTTATCATTCTGCAAATTCTTAATTTCAGGCACAAGATTCATTGGCTTAGTGGACTAAGTGGCCAACGAAAATATTTATATCCGCCTACCTTCATAACTGAAGGTGTAAAAAAGGAAGACCGAAACAAGAAAGAAGAGGACCAGAGATGATTCCATGCAACACTGCAGCTCTGACCTCACCTCAATGCCTATCCAGCAACATCTCCACTACACATCCTGAGAGCTAAACCCCCCACACACACAAAAACACCAGAAATAGCACCAACAAAAACAAAGACCTGCCAAATATAGCACACTGACCGCAGCTGGAGCAAATGGTTACACATGGTCAGGCTGTGTTTGCTCTGATGTGAGCGTGCTAGCAGGGCTGGGGGCACATGATGAAACGCTCTGTAACACGGCACACGATCCGATAAATCACAGACAGCAACAAGTGAACCGATCACGATGTTCATTAAAGGTGTTTTAGGTGATACGACTTAATTAGGTGAGAACTTCATTTCAGTTCCACAACAAACGACGCAAACAGCTGCCTTCTATTACAAAGCCTTCATTATCTGTATCACAAGACTCAGTCGTTAGCTGTGTGTAAACCATAACATTTAGAAATTATTTGCAGTGACATTTCAGCACAAAGCACTGTTTTCGCTCTCTCCCTGTGTGCCGGGCCTAAATGAAACCATTTAACACGTCTGTTGTTCTCTCTTCATTAAAATGGTAATGAAAAACTCAATCCATCACCACAGCATGGGAGCCGTCCTGAAAGTGGAGAAACAAAGAGAGAGAGAGAGAGAGAGAGAGAGAGAGAGAGAGAGAGAGCCTGACAGCATTAAAGCCAAATACTCATAAATACAAAGTGGTACATTGCTTGAGGGGCAAGAAGAGATTACAATAAACTGCTGTACAGTCACGACTGAATTAGGCTTTTTTTTACCCCCCACAAAAGAATTAACATGAGACGCTTTTCCTCAGTTCTGGCCAGTAATACAGTGATCATTTGATTAGCAGGATTTGCTGGAGGGAAAGCAGCAAAATCTGGTACAGCATGTGATCTTATAATGCTTACCTTTGGCCTAATCGTTATTAAGAATAAGGACAACTGTTTTATTGAATTGTCTGAGCGTCCAGGTGAAATATCCCGCCTGGAGAAAGAAAACCCTGCAGCCGCTCCACTCAGGGAGTCACCGTCGAGGTGGAATTTACTGCCTCCTTCCTTCACACGTCTTCCTTCTTACGTCTATACATGGACTCTTTTTATTTTCTCTTATTTTCTTTTTTATTCTTTTGATCCTCCCTAAACTGCTTTTCTGTAAAGCTGCTTTGAGACAACACTAGTTGTAAAAAGCACTATGCAAATAAATGTCGTCGTTGTTGTTGTTCACACCTGGTGTTCACAACCGGCATATGTCTCTCAGGACAACTGCACTAAATCTAGGGCTGCACGATTCTTGACATAATGAGAATTGTGTTTTCTGGGCTTACAACCGAGGTCGTGATTCCCACTTTTAATATGCCGACTTCAGTTATTTCAAAATTAGGGAAGCACCGGTCCAACTTTTTCAGTTACAGATTCTGAAGTGAGGGCACTGGCCGATACTGAGCACCGATCCGATACTACTGCTCTGACAAATCAAATCCAATCTGAACACAAATCGAGATGGAAATTCACTGCATTGCTTATAGCCACCACAAACTGTACAGTGAAGTAAAATAAGTCATTGACATGACATACATTGTGTTTAAAAATCATGATAAATGGACGAAAACAAATGGCTCAGAATTACCCAGAAAGATGTCTGGTTCCATTGACTTACATTGAAAATACAGTATGGTTTTTCTTTCTCCTTACCATTTTGGAGATACAAGGTTTCGTTCCGACAAAGATAATTATATATATATATATATATATATATATATATATATATATATATATAGCCCTGCGATGGACTGGCGACCTGTCCAGGGTGTATCCTGCCTTCCGCCCAATGACAGCTGGGATAAGCTCCAGCACCCCACCGCGACCCAGAAGGATAAGCGGTTTAGATGATATATGTATGTATACATATATATATATATATATATATATAACTATGTCAAGAATCGTATATATATTTTGCAACTGTAACCAATCTTTGCAAATAAGCATTAACATATGGAAATGGCCACAAATTTTTAAAAATGAAAGTAAATAAAATTTAGAATGAAGACTAAATATTCAGGATTCTGTACTAATTCTAGGTCACTACTCGAATTTAAGTAAATTTATAACACTGACCATGTTCAGGCCTTTGTAAAAAAAAATATATTTCAAATTATATTTCTACAAGTTTCTAAAATTCACTGTTACAGTTTTAGAATGACCATGAATAAAAAAGGATAAACAAACTGCTTTCTACATAAGAAAACCAACCATAATTTAAAATCCCAAATAAACAAAATCATTGCAGAAATACCAGACAAAACAGCTTTAAATCAACTGCTAGTTTGTGCTGTTGCTTCTGCCACAAAACATTTTTACAAATCACATTAAGAAACACATCAATATTGTCATTTTCCTACAACAGTGCAGCCCTAACCAAATTCATCTCCATGGAACTCATGACAACTGGGACTTCTCTATCACAAGAAAAGGAAGAAAAATAACTGGTCTCAGCTGGTGCTAAACAACGCTAACATTCCTCATCTCCCTTCAAAGAACAACACTATAAACCAGAGGCACATCTTTCCTTTTTTTCAAGTCACAAAAAGTATGACTTGGGCTGAACTAGGGACACGCTGGCAAGGTCTAGTCCAGAACAATAGAGTGGGTTGTTATTCTTTGGCCTGCATGCTGTAGCAGTGTTCAATTATTCACTAGACTAGCAGAGAGCTAGAACAGCAGATGCTCTGTCCCTCTCATACATCTCGGACAATGGAATAAAATATCAATGATCTGCTCCTCAAACCTCAAGTGCACATCCTTCTAGCTTCATAGTTAGCTATTAAAAAAAGAATGAAAAAGAAAAAAGATAAAAAGGGAGCAGAAATTGATGTGACAAATACTAAAAGATAACGGCTGCATCCTGCCGTTCTGATGAAAGACAGCAGCAAGGCCGTGTTGCTGACACATCTGTCCAGGCGGCACTTCCTTTAGTAATAATGCAGTGATGACCTGCTCCTTCACTGTTGATAAGGTCAGTGAGGGGCTAATGACTCAGCAGGTCTGACTCGCGCGACGTCAGGCATTCCTGTTTTTAAGCACAAGAGCTCACAAGAGCTGAGCAGTGGAGCTGGGAATCTTGGGGACCTCACAATGTGATTATGAAACATTTCTATGTTCTGATTTGCTCCTGTTTTATTACAAGTAGCATTAGCTTAACTGAATTCGAATGTAGCCTAAAGCTTATGTCATATAATTGTGAACAAGTGCACATGTAGCAGTGTTTAACGTACTTATCTAAATAACACCTAATAACACCATGCTAATGCTAATTTTCATTAGCGCTTTAATGCGATTTTCTGTATTATGATTAGCCCAAGCTAACGTTGCTGTACCTAGACTTACTCAGGCTCGTTTTCATATTAGTTATAGTGGACTAGATATATATGGACACTTTAAACTTCTAACAGACATTCAGGAACTTGTTGTAAGCTGCATCTTTTCAGTTAAGCCTTCAATAAGTATTTAAACTAAAAGCCTAACTACAAATATTACTCGATTACTCAAAGTTGGTTATCAAACACATTTTTACATTGGGTAAATTTACTATGGTTTTGGGCCTTTTTCCTTCATATATGGTGGGGTCCAAAAGCCTGAGACCTCACTGAAAATCTGAGATTTTCTTCATTTAAACTTGAAAATAAACAATGTTTCAGAATTTTGAAAATGTTAAAAAATTAAAAAAAAAAATAATAATAATAATAATAAAAGTAAATAAAATGTAGAATGAAGACTAAATATTCAGGATTCTGTACTAATTCTAGGTCACTACTCAAATTTAAGTAAATTTGTAACACTGACCATGTTCAGGCCTTTGTAAAAAAAAATTTTTTTAGTCTTATTCTTTCCATTGAGGCTCACGTTCAGTGGACTCTCAGGTCGATTAGATCTACTGTTTAGAGGCTTTTGCACAGACATTTAGAATCCACACCAGCTGGAATGTACACTTTCATTTAAGCAAAAAGGGGACAACTAAATACTAAGAAATCATGAAATGAAATGTTAATTTCAAAGATTCTATTTCTCATTCAAACTATTATGCTTATAATAGAATTGTAATAAAAATTTTTGTAATAAATGAAAACAGAATACAAAATAGAAGCATTTTTCATTAGTGGTCTCAGACCTTTGGACCACACTGTACATGCAATTTGTGACCAAACAGTGACGACATCAGTGAGATCCTGCGTTTTCATTCCTCCTCCGAGTCAGGCTGCGACAAAGTACTCTATTTTATAATGTTTCTGGCTGCGCATGAGTTTATTCAGCAGGAAGGGATGGAGTCCATACAAAAATCTGATTACTGTTTTGTGTATAGAGCCTTTCAAGAGAGAACTGCATTTGAGAATCAAATATATTACCTACCATTAGTAACTAATGCCAGCTTAGAGAGAGAGAGAGAGAGAGAGAGAGAGAGAGAGAGAGTCTCACAAACTCTCCGTTTCACCCACTGACCCCTCAAAATGGAATACAGGTGTGGGCTGTTTGTTTTATCTTTGTTGCAGGTGTATGAATTTCAAATTACAAAAGGAGTTCAGCGATGCTCAGATGTGTCAGATTTCTCAAAGCACACAAACAAAAACAGTCACTCGGTTCCAAGCGATCACCCACACATACACAGCACCTCAGAGCGAGATGCACTCCTGTTGCTAGGTAACCAGCCATCCCAAAAAGCAGGCAAACCCACAAAACACCAACGCTGTGCTCACTTACCGAGTCTTCCATATTGTCCTCTGAACATCTGGAGGGAGACGACTTCTCCAGAGATGGGCTGGAACTCTGGAGGTCCCAACCGACATCAGGTGAATTCGGGTTGGGTATGATTCCTGAAAGCTCTCTTTTGCTGGCCTTTTCTTCTACTGGTGAAGAGCTGCAAGATGTTTGCTCAGAATGCTTCCTCTCAGATGAGCTCCATAAGCCCTGCTTATTCGTTTTCATAGGCAATGGGGATGCACGCTGAATTTGCTGCGACAGTGAACGGGAACGGGCGACAGATGGTTTTCTCTTGCTGGGTGATTCAGGACGTTTCTGACAGCTGCTCTGCAACTGCACGCAGCTTTTTGACCTGGTCCTGGACAGTCTGACCAAGTGCCCTTTCTGACCTTTGGCCTCCCCTTCCTCTTCCGCAGGTTGTCCATGCACCTCTAGCAAGTGGCATAAGAAGTAGCTCTTCTCCAGTTTCACTTCTTGCTGGAGGCGCTGAAGAAGCACAGCCTGCTCCCCTTCCGCTTCCCCATGCAGCGTCTTCAGCAGCTCCTCCAGCTTATGGTAGATGGCACCGTTCCCCTTGCACCCCAGGTTGTTCCTTTCCCAGTTCTTGCCTGCTTTCGCACGGTTCGTAGGTTTCACGATGCCAACAATTTCATCGGCTAGCCTGCAGCGCAGCTCTCCAGCCTGCCTGAGACTGGCGCAGTCGGAGCACCGTCGCTCGCTGCCCTGACGGCCCAGCAGGCGACGGATCTCCACAGCACGCTCCCGGCCCAGGGCCTTGCGCTGCTGCAGCAGCTCCAGAGCCTTCTGCTGCTCGTGCCTGGAGGTAAGCTCCCTCAGTGCTCGTTCACGGCCCTCTCTTGCCTCGTCTCGCTGCCGCCGGAGCTCCAGAGAGAAGCGTCGGCGTGCCTTTTGGTTCCGGCTGCGCTCCACCTCCAGAGCAGCCCGGAGCCGCTCCACTTCCCTAGCCGGATCAGGAATGGAACCGGATCTGGACGGAGAACCAGGTCCACTGCGACGTTTGTTGGAAGGAGAGCCTTTCTTGGAGGAGAGATTATGGGGGTTACTTTTAGCTCCATCTTTGCCCATAGTGATGTTAATGAAGGACAGAATGAACAAGAGAGCCTTAGTCAGGCCTAAACGGAAGGCATGCAGCGAGTAGAGATGGGTGGAGAATGAGGATCATGCAGGATGACATTGGGGTTCAGGAGCAAGCAGCATGCATTGACAATAGCATTCCAAATGGTCACTGAAAACAGTAAAGACGACCACAGGTCAGAACACTGATGTGAAAATGACATGAATATATTTAGAGAGTAATCAGAACTTCAGGGTTACTACAAAACGCCTAGACAAGTTTCTCACTGACAACCAAGTAAAAATGGCAAAGTCAGTCCCACTTCCAAGTGGGAGATCTCTTTCAAGTTGTTCTCAAACAAGACTTTTGGGACCCCCAGACAGTCCACATCCCTATATGCTGGGAGCTGGGATGAAGCAAAATATGTGAACTATCTGGGGGTCCCTGAGGACTGGTTTGAGAACCAATGTTCTAGACCAAGTAATTTCAGGTCTTGCCAGATTTTGTTCCCTATTTAACAGCTGACTAGTCATGCTTCCCATAAATGGAAAAGCCAGGAAAATCAGTACCAAAACAAACTTCATGGGTCTTTAAGTGAACAATGGGAAGAAGGCCAAAAATAAAATCTGAGGAAGTTCACTTTCCCCTTCCTTCTCTCTGAAAAAGCAAACTGACTCTCATGGCATACATTCAGCAGGCAGCGCAGTACACGACGAGTATAAAAGACAAGATAAATATCTTGCACACTGTTTAGACACTGATTAGCCCTCAGACAAGAAACGTCTTCGCAGACATTGTAACGCCAGGCTTAATCCGTATCCAAACACTGGTCAATGGCGGATTAGAGCATATGAAGGCTTACCTATGGACTCTGTTCCCAGTATTAGGATCTGCTGGATCTGCTTCCTCCAAGGATCCTGAAAAGCATTTAAAAGCAGATTACAATCCACACAGAAACATGAATCTTGCTTCAGCTGTTCACCTCACTGAACTGCTCCCATTAAATAGAGATCAGCTTCAGCAACATCGCAACAAATATGTAATTCTGAAATATGGCAACATATGGATTTCAAATATATGACACATATTAGCATATATGGATTTCCCTGATATCCAACTTATTTGAATTTGGCCGTTTTCAAATAAGGGACATATATTTCAGCCATATATCAACATATATCAACATACATGCGTAATACATATCCTACAATACACACACACACACATACACACACACACATATATATGTATATATATATATATATATATATATATATATATGTATATATATGTGCATGCTTTGAAATATATGCCTGACCCTTTATGATGTAATGTGCATATATGGACATATATTAGATTTTTGTATAGTAAGATACAGAGAAGGGCGATATGGCAAAACACATAATATTGCGATACTTCAAGAAATCTTCAAGTGCTCTACAAGTACTGACGGTATCCACAATATTTAAAGAAAAGCATATTGTAATGTATTGGGACATAATTCATCACAATAGCGATACATATCGACATATTGCCCAGCCCTAGGAAGGTACAAAAGCTGAGTACTGGGAAGCTGCACTGTTATGTTTGGTATCATTTAACATACATTGGCCCAAGACAAACTGCAGCCAAGCCTGAGACTGTCCACAGATAGGAAAGCAAAAGGAATAATATAATAACAATGATATGATCCATATATTAAAATATATGCCCAGTATTTGATATTTACATATATGTGCATGTTGTAAAACATATGCTTGACCCTTTATGATATGATGCATATATATGGCTATATATCAGAGTTTCATATGGGAAGGTATAGAGGTGGGCGATATGGCTAAAACATAACATCGCGATACTTTAAGAATTTTATACAATACCCAAAATGGGAAAATATTTCATTTTTCAGACATGTGATCAGTTGGAAGTGAAAAAAAACAGTAGTGCTACATTTAAAATAAAAGTCTATCAAAAACTGTGAAAACAATGATTTCTATTTTATATTTGACATACTGTGTGCCACTAAATCCAGTTCAACAGGCGGGTGGTCAGTGCTCTACAAGTACTGACGGAATCCACAATATGTTCAGAACAGCATATTGTATTGTATTGTATTGTATTGTATTGGGACATACTTTATCACGATAGCTACACATATCGACATATTGCCCAGCCCTAGAAAGGCACAAAAGCTGACTTTAGGGAAGCTGCACCGTTATGTTTGGTATCATTTAACATATATTGTTCCAAGACAAACTGCGGCTACGACTGAGACTGACCACAGACAGGAAAACAACAGGAATGAAACATTTTCAGTGGAATTCTATGAGGCGAAGGTAATAAACAACAGCCAGCTGGTGTCATAACCAGCTAATAAACACGACAGAAAACTGACAGCTTTTATATGACAACCTCATTTTTCGACACTAGACCGCTGATAAAGCCGTCTGTAATGCATTCAGCAGACAGACAGCGCTCACACTGATAAACTGACAGAAGCCTCGATCTGTTAACTGAGTAAACGTCCCTGTTGGATGCAACAAGTGGAGAACATCGCCTGAGCGTGACTGAACCGCTCAGTAACGACCCTGTGAGCAGCGAAGAGCCCACTCAACGCCAGAGAGTCGTCAGTTTAAAAAGACACACATGCAGTTCACAGTCCGCTATCAGCGCACATGCTAATGTTGTCCTCTCACTCCGTTAGCTGGTTAGCTGCTTGGTCAAAGCTCGTCTCAGTAAACACGCTTTAAACGCTTTTACCTCACCCGTTCCAGAAGAAGACGCGTCCGAGCTCTCCTTCAAATACTCCTCAAGTCTTATTAGCGATGATTTTACTGGTTCATTTCACGCCGCTAAGCCCAGATAAGACTCCCGGGCGATGAACCGGCCTTATGTTGGCGCTCCGAGCCTCAAAGCCCGGACTTGGAAGAAGCAGGGAAGCACCAGTTGCTTCCCAGCGATGAATGAATCATCCTTTTGAATCGGTTCCTTTCGAACCGATTCACAAGTACAAGTGACTCGAACCTACATCAGCCATTACATTAAAACCAAGCCCTCGTTTCTACACTCAGTGTTCATTTTATCAGCTCCGCTTACTGTATAGGTGCACTTTGTAGTTCTACAATTACAGACTGTAGTCCATCTGTTTCTCTGCGTACTGAGTTCTTCAGTGGTCAGGACCCCCACATGACCACCAGAGCAGGTATTATTTGGGTGGTGGATCATTCTCAGCAGGGCAGTGCTGGTGGTGATGTGTTAGTGTGTGTTGTGCTGGTGCGAGTGGATCAGACACTGCAGTGCTGCTGGAGTTTTTAAACACCTCAGTTTCGCTGCTGGACTGAGAATAGTCCATCAACCAAAAATATTTAGCCAACAGCGTCCTGTGGCCACTAATGAAGGACTGGAGGATGACCAACACAAACTGTGCAGCAGCAGATGAGCTACTGTCTCTGACTTTACATCTACAAGGTGGACTGACAAGGTAGGATTGTCTAATAGAGTGGACAGTGAGTGGACACAGTGTTTAAAAACTCCAGCAGCACTGCTGTGTCTGATCCACTCTTTAGACTGTGTGTGGAGATGTTAAGAATTAAGGTGCTCTAAATAAATCTCTTTAAGAGCAAACGTGAATTATTTAACCGTACTCGGTTCTTCTGTTCGAATGAATCGATTCATGCAAACTGAATCAGACTTCCCATCACATTCTAATGTCCGGCGGAGACCGACACCAACTTCAAGTGGAGAGCTGGAACATTCCCTGTGTAAACGGTGACCTCTAGTGGCCAATGTGCGCCAGTGCACGGCCTGCCGTTAGCTGTTGCTGAACAGGCACGATAAGTGAACAACGGTAAGCAAGGTAGCCTAAAAAGCCTATTCTGTTTTTTAAAATGTTATTTTATGAAATACTGATCCAAATGTGTAGAAAAAATAGCTGCCAAAACATTTTTGGAGTATGTGGGAGTAAAAATGTATTAGGTCAAAAAACTACATCACAAATACTGAGCTCCCCTGTAAAACTAGATCTAGTAAAGAGCACAAAGATCTCAGATCTAGATCTAGAGGTCCTCTTATGAAGTTTGAGTGGTTTCATGCACTAAAAACATAAAACACAGTACATTTTACACACACATATATACATACATCATCTAAACTGGTTATCCTTCTGGGTCACGGTTGGGTCCTGGAGCCTATCCCAGCTGTCATTGGGCAGAAGGCAGGATACACCCAGGACAGGTTGCCAGTCTATCACAGGGCAGACAGACAGACATACACACACACTCACACCTAGGGGCAATTTTAGCATGTCCAATTGGCCTGACTGTATGTCTTCAGAATGTAGGAGGAAACCCACGCAGACACAGGGAGAACTCCACACAGAAATGACCCTGGTCACCTGGCTGGGAATCGAACCAAGGCCATTTTTGCTGTGAGGCAACAGCGCTACCCACTGCGCCACCGTGCCTCCCTTTTTTTTACATATATATATATATATATATATATATATATATATATATATATATATATATATATATATATATATATATATATACACAGAAACAAAAACAGCCTGTTTTATATATATATATATATATATATATATATATATATAAAACAGGCTGTTTTTGTTTCTGCACCCTTAGGATATATAGAAATGAACTCTGTTCTGATTGGCTGCCCTGTATTGGGCCTTAATTCGCAAAGCAGCCTGGACTGCAACACTCCTTATAACTTCAGTGTGATTGGCCTTGGGCTAAACTGCTGTTGGATGAATAGTGGATAGATGTAAATGAGGTGTTTTTTGTGACATCACAAAAACAACAGATATAAAATGGGATGTTTTGCTAGTTTGTTATATGGCCCGGGAGGTGTAAGGTACATTTTGAAAGAACATTTCAATGCTCCGTTAAAATCTTTATTTCCAAAAAGTGAGGCAAACTCATTTTCCATGATAAGAGCCCTTTAAACTAAAATGAAAAAAGTAAAAGACATTAGGAACCATGTGTAGTTGAGTACACTGCAGAAAAACATGTTACTTCACAATTAGAAAACAATTGGAAACAGTTAAAAAAGTACAGATCTGTCAAAAAACATGCTCACAACATGAAATCGAGTAAACGCAACTAGTTACTAACAACTTAAATGCATTGCTCTTGACCTAGCCTAGCTTATTAACTCGCCTTTACTGCATAGTGTTGCCATATGTAGTTTTGTGTAACTACAGTATCAAAAACACATAACATATATTTTGTAATATGATACCAAATACTTTATTTTTTTATTGTTTTGGAAAACTGAAGTATAAAATGCTATACTTTTTTCTGAGCACATGCCTTCTTGTTGCAATCTGTATTTCTTTTTATGATGAGGTGTAGCATCTGAAGCGCTCTTGAAGTGTGTGTAAAATTAATTTTTTATATTTCAAGAGGGAAAATTGAAACAATTAAAAAAATAAAGCATTTTAGATGCTTTGGGTTTCATATAAAATAATCAAATATAATTGTTGCCATATGGCAACAGCATGTCACAATGCAATTTCAATGGACGCCACCATTTTCACAACTTATATTCCAAGTTGACAATTTTGTCAATGTAATTATTTTCATCCCTTTCTGTATTCTAGAAAAAAACACTTATACATACAGTGCCGTTCAAAAGTCTTAGGCACCTAATTGCACTATTTAAGACCATTTATCTGGTCAGTAAGTGTGTTTCTGCCAATGAAATAACTTTATAATAAACATAAATACAGTGAAAGTAGGAAGATTATTTTAAGTACTTGATATTTTGTGAGCTAGTTTGAAGAATACAGTTTGATTACAGATTTCTACTGGACTTTTCCAGCCATCGTACAGATTTATTCCATCACCAGCACAATTTATTGAAGATAATAAATCACTGGTTGGTCAAACCAGTTTAGAAAATAACAACAAATAATACTGGGACATAGACATGCATAAGATCACTACTTATTGTATTACAACCCCATTTCCAAAAAAAGTTGGGACGCTGTGCAAAATGTAAATGAAAACAAAATGCAATGATGTGCAAATAATTTAAACAATATATTTATTTGAAAATAGTATAAAGACAACATATCAAATGCTAAAACTGAGAAATTTAATTGTTTTTTGGAAAATATATGCCCATTTTGAATTTGATGGCAGCAACACCTTCCAAAAAAGTTGGCCACTGTGTTTCATCACCTCTTCTTTTAACAACACTCTCTAAGTGTTTAGGAACTGAGGAGACCGACTGCTGTAGTTTTGAAAGTGAAATGTTTTCCAGTTCCTACTTGATATAGGATTTCAGCTGCTCAACAGTTCGGGGTTTCTTTTGTCATATTTCTTGTTTCATAAAATGCCCTATGTTTTCAGTGGGTAACAAGTCTGGACTGTAGGCAGGCCAGTTTAGTACCCTAACTTTTTTACCATAGAGCCATGCTATTGTAATATGTGCATAATGTGGTTTGGCATCATCTTGCTGAAATAAACAAGGCCTTCCCTGAAAAAGACGTCGTCTGAATGGCACCTTATGTTGCCAAAACGTGTATATATGTTGTTCAGCATTAATGGTGCCTTCACAGATGTGCGCGTCACCCATGCCATGTGCTCTAATGCAACCCTATACCATCACGAATACTGGCTTTAAAATTGTATGCTGATAACAAGCCTGATGGTCTTTAGCCTGGAGGACACCATGTCCATGATTTCCAAAAAGAATTTCAAATGTTGATTTGTTGGACCACAGAACACATTTTCACTTCCCCTCAGTCCATCTCAGATCTTCAGGCCCAGAGAAGGTGGCGGCGTTTCTGGGTCTTGTTTATATATGATTTCTTCTTTGCACAGTAGAGTTTTGACTTGCATTTGTGGATGCAGTGATGAACTGTTTTCATAGACAGTGGTTTTCAGAAGTGTTCCTGAGCCCATGCAGTGATTTCCACTACAGAATCATATCTGTTTTTAATGCAGTGCCACCTGAGGGCCCAAAGATCTTGGCTTGCCAGTATCTTGTCCCTTACATACACAGATTTCTCTGGATTGTCTAAATCTTTTAATGTAATTATTTACCATAGATGATGAAAAGAAAAAGTTCTTTGCTATTTTACATTGAGAATTGTTATTCTTGAATTGTTGCACTATTTGCTCGTGCAGTCTTTCAGAGTGGTGAACCCCTCCTCATCTTTACTCCTGAAAGATTCAGCCTCTCTGAGATGCTCTTTTTATACCCAATCATGTTACTGACCTGTTGCCAATTAACCGCCAGATGATTTTTAGCATTACACAACTAGACCAGTCTTTTTGTTGCTCCGTCCCAACTTATAGGCACATATTTTTCAAAAAAACAATTAAATTTCTTAGTTAGGGCTATATTCAATGAAATATAGGGTTGAAATGATTTGCACATGATTGCATTTTGTTTTTATTTACATTTTGCACAGCGTCCCAACTTTTTTGGAAATGGGGTTGTAAAAATTTTCCTGAGAAAGGTCCTTCATGACATGTTCTTTGTTCGTACCTTTGCGCTCTTGAGTGTGTGTAGATTCTACTCTTACCTAAGAATAAATCCCAAATAAGAAACATAGGTGAATGTCAGAATCTTTGGAAAAACTGCGTAAATAGGTTTTAAGAAGGAACTTCTTTTTAAGAACGGTTGAGGCCAGTGATTACATGAGTAAAGTAAAAATGCTTTATGCTGCGAGATCTTATTCGGGGCTGATATATAATATGTACAAGTCAAGCCTAAGATATGATATGATATATAATTATATACTTTACACATTGAAAGAATCAAATAATACTGCACCTGTTTCTTTGCTATCTGATTACATAAAAGTAGTATTAGTATACTCATAGAACTGCTAAACATGTTGACTGATGGCAAGAAGAGGCTGATATTTATATTGTGCATCCTGAAAC